TTTTTTTGGGTTGCTATGAATGTCTATCAAACGTTTCAGTTATACCAGATGACGTATGCAGGGCAACAGAAACTAGATGAGGATGGAGACGATGGGTCAGAGATGTGTGTGTACACGATGGTGTATGTGTCTAAGGCTGCATCGAAAGGTAACTTCACGTCTGCTGCCATGTTGGATCCATAGATATAAACAAACCGCTTCGGTGTGTCACATACACGTCGTCATCGTCTCGCTGCTCCCTCCCCGTTCTGTGATTGGTCCCCTCGCTGAGGCGAAAATCTGGTCCATGGTGTCCAGACTGAAATAAAATCCCAGGCTACATCATAAATGTAATAGTTGCCCATTGTACGCTGTGACTACACATTCAAGGTCTCTATAGTACCTTTGATGATGAACCTGTAGACCTGACAGCCTCCTCAACTGTGTGATGGTACACTCTTAGAAGAAAAGGTTCTATATAGAACCTTAAAAAGGTTCTATCAGCGGCGCTACGTATTTGGAACCCCTAAAAGGTTCTATACGCTCTTAAAAAAGGGTTCCTCTGGGTTCAGTATAGAACCCTGCCCAGATAGCAAACTGACATTGAATCAACGTGGAAACATGACATCGAAACAACGTTGATCTAACATTGTTTTGCTCATCGAATTAACGTTGAACCAACGTCAGACGCGTCATTCTTTCAAAACTAACGGAAAATCAACTTGAAATCAACGCGTTGTTTCAACGTTATGAAAGCAAACCAATTTTCGATTTTCATTTAGCGTTGAAGAATGCCGCGTCTGACGTTGGTTCAACGTTAATTCGATGAGCAAAATCAACGTTGTTTCAATGTCATGAGAGACGTCGTTTCCACGTTGATTCAATGTCAGTTTGCTGTCTGGGTGAGGTTCCATACTTGGCCAATAGAACCAAAAAAAAAGGTTCTATATAGAACCATTTTGGAGTTCTATATATGAAGCGGGGGATGGAACCATTTCTGGTTCTAAATAGAACCATTTCTTCTAAGAGTGTATGAGTCGTCAATCACTCAATTCTAACACAAACATGCCTGACATAGCGCTATGAGCTCGAGTGAGTCTCTGGTCAGTGCGGGCACCAGAACAATAATACCAACATGCGGTTGTGTCAAGTACACAGAACATTTGAGTCAAGACCACAAGTTGTGAATCACGAGACCAGAAGAAAGAGAAAGCATTGACTCTCAGGGCTTCTGTGGAAAGCATATGCTATTATTATATACAATGCATTAGTGGTTATTTGTTTTGCGTGCTACACACATTTATCCCGGGCAGCGTCCCGTGAGGAACAATGCATGCCTTCAGCTCGGGAAAAACACTCGAGGTTCTCCTTATATGGAGTTAAAGACGACGTCTGGCGTGATTGGCTCCCACATCTGAACCAGAACATGTGGATCTGCTGCGGCTCTCTCACACACACACACACACACACGCACCTGTTATGACACGCACATCGAAGAGGACACACACTGACAACGCATTTCTCCAGTTGTGTAATTCACACGGAAAATATAGAATATAAAAGTCCAGAAAAGGAGAAAACAGTGAAAGATTGGGGATGTATATGAATGTAAAAAGTGACAATATATGAAAGATCCTGAACAGTTTCATTTGATTTAACCACAATTTATTCAGACACCTTCGACATTGTCAGTTTATTCACTTTAGTTTAGAAAATGGTAATAAAATATGAGCAGAACTCAGAGTTATTAGATCAGTGGATATTTCACTGGTTTTATCCGTCCTTCTGTTAGACTCACACATGAATTATGTTGAATATCTGTCAGCTGTTCAATTTAACTACACAATTAGATAATAACAATGCATAACGTTTACTGGTTATCCACTATATGAAGCATTTTTGGGTATAATATGTGGCATTTAGCCTATTTTATTTTGCTCTCCTCACTAACATAAATTAACGCGTCCTGGAACTACTATTAAAAAAATTATATTTTATAAATTACACATTTTTTTAATCATTTTTTGTTTTGACTGTGTATATTAATGACTAATTTCAACATTAGTTTTATCCCTTCATGTTCTTGACAGGAGTGTTAAGCTTATACTTTCATTATTTTCAAAAATTATGGTTGGTGAATATAGGAAGATGGATAATGGGTGTTTTTCTCTCCCATGACTCATGGTTTCTGAAGTGTTATTCAGTCAGGAGATGTTCAGAGAGACAGCACTGCTCTCTACTGGCCAGACATCAGCCGTGCAAATATATATCGCTTGAAGAAAACCATTACATTGAAGCCATTTTTGCATTAACTGACTTCTCAACCAAACGGTTGAGCACATTTTGAGTCACTATATTTTATTGAGAGGAGTACCTAACTTACCTAAAACTGATTGCGCCATCTCTATCATCTGGTTGAGGTATATTATGCCAAAAAAATCCACTAGATGTCACCGTCAATCAACAGCACTTGTCTCAACATGATGTCAGAAACAAATAAATCACCCCAGTCATGTGAACTGGTTTTGGTGAAATTTTGCAAGCTAAGCATATTACACTGTAAGAGCCCCAACTTTACAAAATGATGTTGGTGCTATGAAAAAACGTAAGTATATTTTTAATAATTTTTCAAAAACATGCTCAACCAAACAGTTGATTTGGCACATAATGGTTAACTGTCACCCCCCTTTTAGAGAATGGACATTACAATGCAAAACTTCAAAACTTGGTTGTAATTCAAGTATGCTTTGGAATAAAGACCTAAGTTTAGTCCTTCTTTAAAGAAAACACTCAGCAGATTATTGCTGAAGTAAAAGCACTTAAAAAAAAAATTAAAGTATGAAAAAGTTCCGGAAGTTTTAAATTTACATTAAATCAAATATACTGTACTAAATATTTCTTCCTATAAAATTACTATAAAATCAAAGCCAAATATCTAACCAAGTTATGTTCCAAATTTGAAGTTGATATCACAAAAATTCAAGTTCCCATGAGATTGTGTTTATGTGTAATACCAAAAATGACATAAATTCCATTGAATTTAATTGTATGCGTTCTGCTGTAACAAATTAATACATTTCTAAATTTAAAATTCATTTCAAAAGAAACTTGTTATACAAGAAAAGTTACTTTTCATGTATACTTTTACTTTGTAAAGTTTTATTGAAGTAGGCCTATTTGGGTGTGTTTTGGGCATATTCGATTAGTGTATAGCTCATTTGCATATTAAAATTAAATTAATTTTCAAAGAAACCTGTAATGCAAAAAAAGTACTTTTTATGGATACTTTCATTATGTAAAGTTTCATTATTGTATTGTTGTCTGGCCTTACTGGCACACATCTTGGATTGATGAGAATTAAACATATTTCCTCAACAAGGATTTCTTAGGACTTTTATTATGTTGTTCTGGACACCTCATAGAAATGATCTATGCTGAAAAAAATTATTTTACAATTAGTCTGTCGTAAAATGCTACTTTGCCTGGACTATTGAAATAGATGTAGTTCATGAGCGATTTTCACATAAAACTAAATGTTACTCTTCTGTTTTATGACAAACTGCGACTTTCTTGCCTTTCAGAATTATCCTTTAAATTGGCAAACATCATATGTGTAATTCAGGGCACAGTTCAGATGGAATAAAAAGTTGTCTCTCGCCATTGACTACCATACATATTTTTTTTCAGAAATAAAGTCCCATGCATCCATTAAAAATAGTAATCTGAAAGTATTCATGCATATTTCACTCCATGAGTGGAATTGACTTCTCATATCTTAGCAGTTATTTTGCATATTTCTTAAACACATTTTGTGTATACACAATATACAAGTGCAAGAAGAATCATTACTTTTTCAAACGTTTTTTATTTACATATAATTACTTTTCAAACACACCCCTCATCTGCTATTGGTTGGCTCAACAGGAAGGCCCGCCCCCAAACCACCACCATTGGTCAAATCAGCTCAAGACAGTCATGCTTGGGTTATCTTTTACATATATGTATCCTAAACTTCAGCAGTCTGATCAAACCAGTCCACATTCAGATCATTTATCACACAGGAAATGGAAGGTCAAGTTGAGCAGATTGCATTGTGGGATATAGTTCAACACAGTGGGCTCTTGAGTACCGAACTTTTTTTGGGAGCTGTACCATGAGCACAACATTCATAATACAGAAATAGTAGAACAGTAACATGAATACTGAAGTAGGTAGGATGGTACAATGTTTCAAAAACAGTAATTTATGATTGAATAATCGCATACAAAATAAAAGTTTGTTTACACATAATATGTGTGTGTACTGTGTATAAATACTTTGTATATATAAATTCACACATAATATTTGCATGTATATACCTCATATATATTGTATTTATAAACAATTTATATTATATATAAATATTTTATGTATAAATTAGGGCTGTCAAACGATTAATCGCATCCAAAATAAAAGTTTGTGTTTTCATAATATATCTGGGTGCACTGTGTGTATATATATATATATATATATATATATATATATAAATACACACACATGCATGTATATTTGAGGGAAAAATATTATTTATATATAAATATTTATATTTAATATAAATTATATATAAATGTATATACAGTATATACATGAAAAAATTTCTTAAATAGATACAGCATGTGTGTGTATTTATATATATATAAAATATTTATACACAGTGCACCAACATATATTATGTAAACACAAACTTTTATTTTGGATGCGATTAATCGTTTGACAGCCATAGTATACATAACACATTTTTCTTAAATATATACAAGTATATATATTAAATATATACATGGATGTATATTGTATGTATTGTACACACATATATTATGTCAACACAATCTTCTATTTTGTATGCGATTAATCGTTGCATGGATTAATCCACTGATATATTATTGTATTACTTAACTTTGAAGAGATTAACCGAGTGACTGCGAAAACTGTCAGCATAGATGTACAACTGGAAGAGTGACCAATCAAAAGAAAAACAACGCAACGAGCAATCAAGGCACTTTTAATGGCAGAAATCATCACCTGAGGCAAGACAAGAGCAAACACTCTCCGCATTTAAGACACTCATTCACCCTGAGGTTTCCTCATCTCACACTCCCTCAGAAGCCTCTGAATCACGCGGATTCGACTTTGGACACTTGATATGCACATGTATGAGGTAGAATTGAAAACACCTTGCTTGCCGTTGTGCGACTTTCAAATCTACGCATTTCGACCCAACCAAATTCAATATAAAACTGTACATTTGATTAGCAACAAAACCTCATTCGCAAGCGAGTTTAACCTCCGCGTTCACACACACCATGTTACCCTAGACTAGACCAATCAGGGAGAGACATCCAATGAAGTGAACAAAGTGTCATTAAAAACTTTAAAATGTATTCGTTAATATATATAAAAAAAGCAAGAAGGCACATACAGGGTCAAGCAGAACTTTACCAGATCAATCACTCATCTTAAACATTAAGGCACTTTGCGCATTAATATTTCCCACGCTCCTCCACCGCTCCTCATTCAGCCGAACAGGAAGCTGCACGGAAACAAAAGGCATTTACGTTAGAAAGGAAATTAAGTCGAATGCATTTCTGAATTACAATTCTTATTCTAAACACTACAGTTCAAAAGTTTGGGCTCGGTAAGATTTAACCCGAAAACCGTTTCCCTTATTTCCCTTGATCTGAGCGGTACAAGCCTTGGCAACTTTTCCTAAGTTTGCCTCCTGAACACACACTTTATTTTGACTAAATTCTACAATGTTAAGTGGGTGAAAAAAAAGCCTCCTTAATCTTGTATTTGGGTCATAAATGGGCACCCAAAGAAATGAATGGGAAAAACTGTAATTTAGAGCATTATAAAATAAGCCAAAATAAGACACCAGGTGACTTTAATCGACTCCAATCTCGAGACGTTGCGACTCCAATCTCGAGACTCGAGACGTTTCGACTCCAATCTCGAGACTCGAGACGTTTCGACTCCAATCTCGAGACTCGAGACGTTTCGACTCCAATCTCGAGACGTTGCGACTCCAATCTCGAGACGTTGCGACTCCAATCTCGAGACGTTGCGACTCCAATCTCGAGACCTTTCGACTCCAATCTCGAGACGTTGCGACTCCAATCTCGAGACCTTTCGACTCCAATCTCGAGACCTTTCGACTCCAATCTCGAGACGTTGCGACTCCAATCTCGAGACCTTTCGACTCCAATCTCGAGACGTTGCGACTCCAATCTCGAGACGTTGCGACTCCAATCTCGAGACGTTGCGACTCCAATCTCGAGACGTTGCGACTCCAATCTCGAGACGTTGCGACTCCAATCTCGAGACGTTGCGACTCCAATCTCGAGACGTTGCGACTCCAATCTCGAGACGTTGCGACTCCAATCTCGAGACGTTGCGACTCCAATCTCGAGACGTTGCGACTCCAATCTCGAGACGTTGCGACTCCAATCTCGAGACCTTTCGACTCCAATCTCGAGACGTTTCGACTCCAATCTCGAGACGTTGCGACTCCAATCTCGAGACGTTGCGACTCCAATCTCGAGACGTTGCGACTCCAATCTCGAGACCTTTCGACTCCAATCTCGAGACGTTGCGACTCCAATCTCGAGACGTTGCGACTCCAATCTCGAGACCTTTCGACTCCAATCTCGAGACGTTGCGACTCCAATCTCGAGACCTTTCGACTCCAATCTCGAGACCTTTCGACTCCAATCTCGAGACCTTTCGACTCCAATCTCGAGACGTTGCGACTCCAATCTCGAGACGTTTCGACTCCAATCTCGAGACGTTGCGACTCCAATCTCGAGACCTTTTGACTCCAATCTCGAGACGTTGCGACTCCAATCTCGAGACGTTTCGACTCCAATCTCGAGACGTTGCGACTCCAATCTCGAAACGTTGCGACTCCAATCTCGAATCGTTGCGACTCCAATCTCGAATCGTTGCGACTCCAATCTCGAAACGTTGCGACTCCAATCTCGAAACGTTGCGACTCCAATCTCGAATCGTTGCGACTCCAATCTCGAATCGTTGCGACTCCAATCTCGAAACGTTGCGACTCCAATCTCGAAACGTTGCGACTCCAATCTCGAAACGTTGCGACTCCAATCTCGAAACGTTGCGACTCCAATCTCGAAACGTTGGGACTCCAATCTCGAATCGTTGCGACTCCAATCTCGAAACGTTGGGACTCCAATCTCGAATCGTTGCGACTCCAATCTCGAAACGTTGCGACTCCAATCTCGAAACGTTGCGACTCCAATCTCGAAACGTTGCGACTCCAATCTCGAAACGTTGCGACTCCAATCTCGAAACGTTGCGACTCCAATCTCGAATCGTTGCGACTCCAATCTCGAAACGTTGGGACTCCAATCTCGAAACGTTGCGACTCCAATCTCGAAACGTTGCGACTCCAATCTCGAAACGTTGCGACTCCAATCTCGAAACGTTGCGACTCCAATCTCGAAACGTTGCGACTCCAATCTCGAATCGTTGCGACTCCAATCTCGAATCGTTGCGACTCCAATCTCGAAACGTTGCGACTCCAATCTCGAAACGTTGCGACTCCAATCTCGAAACGTTGCGACTCCAATCTCGAAACGTTGCGACTCCAATCTCGAATCGTTGCGACTCCAATCTCGAAACGTTGCGACTCCAATCTCGAAACGTTGCGACTCCAATCTCGAAACGTTGCGACTCCAATCTCGAAACGTTGCGACTCCAATCTCGAATCGTTGCGACTCCAATCTCGAAACGTTGCGACTCCAATCTCGAAACGTTGCGACTCCAATCTCGAATCGTTGCGACTCCAATCTCGAATCGTTGCGACTCCAATCTCGAAACGTTGCGACTCCAATCTCGAAACGTTGCGACTCCAATCTCGAAACGTTGCGACTCCAATCTCGAAACGTTGCGACTCCAATCTCGAAACGTTGCGACTCCAATCTCGAAACGTTGCGACTCCAATCTCGAAACGTTGCGACTCCAATCTCGAAACGTTGCGACTCCAATCTCGAAACTTTTCTCTACAATACAGTAGTGAAATAACTTGTATGAAATGTGGAGGATTTTAACTGAGACAAGATGACTGACTGGTCTTTTTTTCCACAAGAAGAGTACATATTTTAGGGAGTGTTATAGTAGGCGAGCTGTAGGTGAATCTGCGAAATTACCGCCTTGCTTTAGTAGGAAATACTCTCAGCAAACTTTTAGACAATGATCTCGTCTTGTATTATTCCCAGTGCAAGAATTCAAAGAGTAAACGTTTAGCGGAAGCCAGTTAGCATTGTACTGCAGTGGCTAAAGGATGCAAAGAATTGTAAATACGGAGAGAACGTAGCGACAGACAATCGTCTGAGTTTGTCATTAACATTTCAAACTGGATGAGCATAAACAAACAGAGGAAAAAACTGAAAGAAACTGCCGTTCTGTCAAATCCACCCAAGCAAAACGCTGTAGCACACCGGGTTATCATAGAGATCCATTTTTTCCATAATTTGCAATAACCGTTCTGTTAATAACCCTCTTCCGATCCGACGGTCTGTGGGCGGGGATACAAGTATGCGGAAGTACAATCTGTAATTTTCACGATTTTAGGATTCTTCACCATTTCTGGGTCACCAATGAAATCTCAGTGAACTAGAGACATTGATCACGTGACACTCATAAGATCGTCTCTTCCACTGAGGTCGAGATGCTCGTAAGAACATCTCAAATCACGATCATCAGGTTTAGAGCAAATACTGAGACACCATCAAACTCATGGATATTTCTCAATTAAACATTATACTCAAATTATTACATTATAAACAACAGAAGCATTTTCATTAGTGCTCCCAGACTCTCTTGGCATTGCTATTTCCGTGAGATTATTGGTCTCACCTGTAAGGATATCCGTGATATTTGGCCCTGAAGATGGACAGGAGCCAGCTGAAGAACAGCACCACCAGCCCGATCCCTGCCATACACATGACTGCAGAGAAACAGGACACACGTTAAACCGCTTCTCACCGCAGTCTATGCAGAACTGCTTGATTGACAACATACTTTTCCTCTTGCCGACGTCCAGGTCAGAGGTCGCAGCCTCATGAAGCAGAACCATTCCCAGAGTCACCGCAGCGTCTGCATCAGCGTTCAGGAATAAAGCCACAGCCAATCAGATCTGTGTGTAGAGCTACACGACTGCTCAAACTTTTGGGGTTGGTCGTGATTATACTTTTACTTAAATCAAGCGACAGTAAAAACAATTTTTATGCTACGAAGGATTCTTTAAAAAAAAACAAAATGCTCAAAGAATCCCCGAAAAAGCATGTTTCCACAAAAAATATGAAACGGCACAACTGTTTTCAACATTGATAACAATCGTGTGAGTAGCTTCAATTGGTCAAGTATGGAACCCCAGGGTTCTATATAGAACCCAGAGAAACCCTTTTTTAAGAGTGTATAGAACCCTGGGGTTCCATACTTGGCCAATAGAGACCTTTTACCAAAAAAAAAAAAAAGATTCTATATAGAACCATTTTGGAGTTCCATATATGAAGCGGGGGATGGAACCATTTCTGGTTCTAAATAGAACCATTTCTTCTAAGAGTGTATGTGTTAAAGGGAGGGAATGGGATTTGAAAAATGTCTGGCAGATTTTGAAAATACACAACGTCATAAAAAAAAAAAAAAAAAAAAAAAAACGATAAAAAACCTACACCTTTTGCTGTATATCTGGTGGCGCAACCCCAAACACAACATGTTTTCGATCAACAACTATGATTTTAACCATGTAACTTCAGTAAATAATGGCGCAAACACCAATAACTTGACGAGTGTAAACATTAGTACATCACCTTGCATGATTCATTTAAATTCTCTCCACCAATAAATTTGAAAGGGAAACTCCTACAAATTCATATGGAATAACATCAGCATTAGCATGTTTAACGCTAATTTTACACTGCGTGTCCCTTAACTGTCACCGTTCCGGTACTGGGACGCCTAACTTTACTTCACTATATTTCTATTAAATCCTAATCTAATTATGACAAATTATATATTTTTGGAAAGGTCTAAGACTTCTAATTAAATATTCGACCCCTGTTTTGTGTTAAAAATTATGTAGGAAGAGTAATTAATGAATTTATGACAAGAGTGCACCTAAGAAAATCTGCATCATAACAGGAGGTCTGACCTTTGTCACAAAAAGTTGATGCACCCACTTTTAATCATTGAAACTTCTGTTTTTATGCTAAAAGTTCATAATAAAACATTAATCTAGTATTTTTCAATAAAAAATAAAAAGTATAGTATAAAATTATCCTCTAAAAATGATAATATATATGTATATATTATCCTCTAAAATATAATAATATTTTTATCGCCTTTTTTTATTATATCACACATTTTAGTAGTTATCATAAATTAGGTATCATCTGAAAGCTTATAAACTCAGAATTCATCCTGTGAAAACCATTTTATTGGTTTAATTGGTTTAATAACCATTTAATTGAACGTTGCGTTACCATAGAAACGGTACTTATTTTATGAGGCTTCTCCCCTTTTGGGCATCCTTATTTTTCATAATTTATGATCAAAACCTTTATTAATCTTGACAAAACACATATTGTCAGAAAGGTCTGAGTCTGAAGGTTCCAAATTTTGTGACAAAATTGATATTTGGACAGAAATGTATTAATTTGTTAAGGCAGAATGTATACAACTAAATTCAATGGAATTCAATGGCACCCGGTGGCTATTTTTGGTACTACGCCTAAAAAAAATCTCATGGGAACTTCAATTTTTGTGATATCAACTTCAAATTTGGAACATAACTTGGTTAGATTTATGGCTTTGATTTTATAGTAATTTTAGAGTAAAAATATTTTGTAAAATATTTATTTTATATAAAATAAAAAATATATAGTACAGTATATTTGATTTACTGTGAATTAAAACTTCCATAACTTTTTCATACTTTCATTTTTTGAAGTGTTTTCACTTCAGCAATAATCTGCTGAGTGTTTTCTTTAAAACAAGACCAAACTTGGGTATATATTCCAAGGCATTCTTAAATTACAACCATTTAAGTGTGAATAGAGCATTTAACCCCCATTCTCAAAAAGGGGGGGGTGACAGTTAAGGGGTTAAAGCAGTTTTTAAAATGCCAAAAGAAGGTTTGCACAGGCCCATTGTGACTGATCTGAGCGCAGTGGCTGTGAAGGATACTGAAGAGGAGAACGATGTGAGTCTCCGCCACAAACTGAGCCTGACTGCTGCCGTGGATGTAACTCTGAAATCAAAGAGAGACACATTACTGTGGTTATCATCTGATATATAAACCTGTAGATGTGAGAACTTCGAGATAGTTTGTGACCTGAGGGGGTTGATGATGTTATCAATCATAACTGTGCATGTTTAATGACAAGCACCAGAATCAAGCCTTGCTGACCGAGGCTGGAAAACTAACATGTTTTGCAAAAATAGAACCATTTTTTTTTGTTCAACAACTTCAAGGCCCTCAAGGAATATTAAGAGGATTTGTGGCTTTTAGTCTATGGATGTTAGCTTTATACAAGATGATAAAATTGAAGTCCAATCAAACGCTCTCTAGAATGATTTAAAACAGGTGACAAACTTTCAATATGACACGCACCAACACGGCCATGAAAGCTGGGATTGTCAAGCCATTTCATGACGTCTTTAAAATATAAAACCAAACATGAGGTATAGAGTGTAACCAACCACTTGGCCATTGTTGGGGTTCTTGTGAGCATATGGAGGTCCTCGGATGTGGTTCCACATTTGACCCGATGTCATGATCAAAACAAAGCACTAGATGGAGAGAGAGAGAGAAATGTATTACAACTTCATTTACGTATCATCTTAAAATTAAACTAATCCCATAGTCTGCAAAAACTCATCATTATCAACCCAACACAGCAATTTATCGAAACTCCAAATTTCTTCAAACTTTTCCATATTCTTCACTAATAGATAAAAAACGGAATCATGCCTTACTCTTACTTTGTTATCCAAAAGGTGATATAAAATCTGCCTTGTGTCCGATTTAAATGTTTTTAGCTAGGGCTGCACAACATACACTCACCTAAAGGATTATTAGGAACACCGTGACCACACTAATACTGTGTTTGACCCCCTTTCACCTTCACAACTGCCTTAATTCTACGTGGCATTGATTCAACAAGGTGCTGAAAGCATTCTTTAGAAATGTTGCAGTTGATGGAGATTTGTGGGATGCACATCCAGGGCACGAAGCTCCCGTTCCACCACATCCCAAAGATGCTCTAATGGGTTGAGATCTGGTGACTGTGGGGGCCATTTTACTACAGTCAACTCGATCCTTGCGTCCCAATTCGCTTACTACGCCCTAAAAGTATGTACTCTTTTTGTGAAGAAAAAGTACATACTTTTGAGTGTGTAGCACAGAAGTAGGCAAGCTTTGGGACATACTATCACGTCATCTTTAACGGACGGCTCTGTCGCGTGCTGCGTGCATCCTGTCACCGTAAACTGCCCTGTCAATCATCTTGTCACAGTTAAAATCCTCCATTCTATCAAATTTTATTTCCTACCGTTTCGGAGCACGTTCATCTGCCAGTCGTGGGTCTTTAATGCGGATACTTTCCTCGTGTTTTGCAATTTGAATATAATGATGCATTTAAAAAGTAATGGCTAAACGTATCCTACCAAAAGTTCACAGTGCTGCTGCAGATGCAATATAATGTGGAGAACATTGAATAAATTCATTTTCGTCAGGTCAGATTGTTAATAAATCACTCAATCCTCTTTATCTAAACCTCTCAACATAACCGCGGGACTCGCGCGTCCTCCGTGTCTTTTTTTTTTTTTAACAACTTTTTACTCGTGTTTGTAGTTCTAACCGAATCCTCGTCCGACGCGCAATGGTTTGTGGGCGATATCAGCCGTTAGAGTGTGCATCGATCTACACTTCGGATTCTGACCGGAAAAAGCAGACCATCCGGGTATCTTTGAAACACTCATTTCAACATACTACGGTTTGGGACGTACTAATTCTATTTTTGAATACTATTTAGGACGGATAGTATGCGATTTGGGACGCAGCGGTTGTCATGTTCAAGAAACCAATTTGAAATGATTCCAGCTTTGTGACATGGTGCATTATCCTGCTGGAAGTAGCCATCAGAGGATGGGGACATGGTGGCCATAAAGGGATGGACATGGTCAGAAACAATGCTCAGGTAGGCCGTGGCATTTAAACAATGCCCAATTGACACTAAGGGGCCTAAAGTGTGCCAAGAAAACATCCCCCACACCATTACACCACCACCACCAGCCTGCACAGTGGGAACAAGGCATGATGGATCCATGTTCTCATTCTGTTTACGCCAAATTCTGAACAGAAATCAAGACTTAGACCAGGTGACATTTTTCCAGTCTTCAACTGTCCAATTTTGTTGAGCTCTTGCAAATTGTCTTGCATCTTTTTCCTATTTGTAGTGGAGATGAGTGGCACCCGGTGGGGTCTTCTGCTGTTGTAGCCCATCCGCCTCAAGGTTGTGTGTGTTGTGGCTTCACAAATGCTTTTCTGCATACCTCGGTTGTAACGAGTGGTTATTTCAATCAAAGTTGCTCTTCTATCAACTTGAATCAGTCGGCCCATTCTCCTCTGACCTCTAGCATCAACAAGGCATTTTCACCCACAGGACTGCCACATACTGGATGTTTTTCTCTTTTCACACCATTCTTTGTAAACCCTAGAAATGGTTGTGTGTGAAAATCCCAGTAACTGAGCAGATTGTGAAATACTCAGACCGGCCCGTCTGGACGCTCAAAATTGCTTAAATCACCTTTCTTTCCCATTCTGACATTCAGTTTGGAGTTCAGGAGATTGTCTTGACCAGGATGCATTGAAACATCTGCCATGTGATTGGTTGATTAGATAATTGCATTGATGAGAAATTGAACTGGTGTTCCTAATAATCGTTTAGGTGAGTGTATAGAAATGATCAAAATATCACAAATGTACAAATATATGGCAATATGCATATCACACAACAGCTTTCAATAACTGCAGTCATGAACTAAAGGCAGAGAAAATCACTCACTGCTCTCGGCTAAATAACTTTTGTAGCTTTAATAAGAATCAGTATATATTTAATTCGTACAGTAAAGACTAATCAGTGTTTTATGTAACCCCGATGTAGGATAACTGAAACCCTGATGTTAATGACACTTCTCATGCTACAGTAAAACACTGATGTTCACTGTCAGAAGCTGTAGGGAGGCTTTCCCGTCACGTAAAAAAAGTGAAATAAATGTTGGTTACATAATTTTAAATATATTTGAAAAATAATTAGTTTATTTTACACACTTTAAGCATGATCGTATCGCATATCGCATTTTTCTTCAATATTGTGCAGCCTTGGTTTTAGCTATTCCAGTTTTGGCCATCAAATAAGTTAGATTCATTCATTTCATTTTTGGCTTGTGCATCCTGAATTTTCGGTCTCCCCGAAAGAGAGTTAAGAAAAATAAAGGTCAAGGTCCCACCAGTGCGGAGAAAGCCCAGACGTTCTTGTTGAACAGGAACTCCAGGTTGTTTCTGCGTAAGTAAGCCAGACTGCCGATGAAGGCCAGCAGCAAACCCAGCATCAGCGGCCCGGCGTAGCTCGGGGGCCTGATCACCCGGATCTGGAGGACACGACAGCCTGTCAAACACTGACGGGACTCTTCTGAAGCCGCGTGTGTGTGTGTGTGTGTGTCTCACGTGGACGTCAGTGCGGTCCGCCACCCATCGGGCCAGTTGCTCCGCGGCGAAGCCTCGCACCTGCAGCTCGTACGTGTCCGCACGCTTGGGCTTGCCTTTGGCCGGGAAGTTGATGAATGTCGGAGCCGAGTTCATGTTGAGCTGAAGAGGACATAAACAGAGTGACTCCACCCTTATAACAACGTTCATCTATCTATAGATTACAGGAACGTCTGTCTGTGTGTCTGTAATTCACATATTATCCGTTCAAAATCAGTTTTTGTGCGTGTTTTTAGTCATTGGTTTGGTGTGTTTGAGTGCTTATTGTTACAATTACACAGCAAGAGTTGAATGGTAGAAAGCAAATACTGATACTGGCTTCATGACATACAATAATTATGGAAATCTGATCTACATGGTTGCAAAACCATGTATAATGGTGATATTAGGTGAGGTATCTGTGTGCATAGCAGGAGTTTAGATTAGATTTACATTAGTGTCAACTGTGTGTCAGATTACAATTATAGAGACAATCAATGAAAGGCATTCGAACATTACCGCTACTGTGTAACAGTAGCTTAAAGGGTTAGTTCACCCAAAAATGAAAATTAAGTCATTAATTACTCACCCCCATGCTGTACCAACCCCGTAAGACCTTCGTTCGTCTTCGGAACACAAATGAAGATATTTTTGATTAAATTTAAGAGCTGTATAACTACCACATTGGCTCCTAAGGGACTGCCTCTTGACGGCCCAGAAAGTCAATGAAGAAAATGTTTAAATATCCCAAGTGACTACCGTGGCTCAACTATATGTTTATCAAGCGACGCGAATACTTTTTGTGCGAAAAAACAAACAAAAATAGCGAGTTTATTCGACTATTTCTTTTCTTCCTTGTAGGCCAGAACGAGACTTCCTTAGATTTCCACGACGCATGCGCGAGAATTGCGATCTGCTCACATCAGCTTACACCACTTCAGATCGCAATTCTCGCGCATGCGTCGTGGAAATCTAAGGAAGTCTCGTTCTGGCCTACAAGGAAGAAAAGAAATAGTCGAATAAACTCGTTATTTTTGTTTGTTTTTTCGCACAAAAAGTATTCGCGTCGCTTGATAAACATATAGTTGAGCCACGGTAGTCACTTGGGATATTTAAACATTTTCTTCATTGACTTTCTGGGCCGTCAAGAGGCAGTCCCTTAGGAGCCAATGTGGTAGTTATACAGCTCTCAAATTTAATCAAAAATATCTTCATTTGTGTTCCGAAGACGAACGAAGGTCTTACGGGGTTGGTACAGCATGGGGGTGAGTAATTAATGACTTAATTTTCATTTTTGGGTGAACTAACCCTTTAAGCTGTCACCAACTAAACATAAAAGTTGCAAACTGCCTTTCATTGTCTTGTCTGTATAATATTCATTTGTGGATGTTAACTGAATCTGTAAATCAGCTACACTGCTTAATTCTGAATATTATATTTAATTCTGGTGCGCTTAACATTTTCACCAAACCAACAATTACTACAAACACACAATAACTGATTGTGCACAAGTACTTGATGTCAACATGAATCATAATTAATCTTATTACACTGGTCTTATTGATGTAGTATCTTCTCTAACACAACTTTACTTTTACATTGTCATCATCAACTCGTCCTCACGATTTTTTTAATGATAACCAACAGGCGTATTGAAGTGATAGTCATCACACTTAGGTCTGACACTCCAGCCAGAGACTTTTCCTTTTTTCACTTATACAACCCGAATTCCAGAAAAGTTGGGACGTTTTTTAAATTTGAATAAAATGAAAACTATACGACTTTCAAATCACATGAGCAAATATTTTATTCACAATAGAACATATATAATATAACAAATGTTTAAATGGAGAAATTTTACACTTTAGTCCACTAAATGAGCTCATTTCAAATTTGATGCCTGCTACAGGTCTCAAAATAGTTGGGACGGGGACAACAAATGGTTGAAAAAGCAAGAAATTTAGAAAGGATTCAGGTGGGAGAACATCTATAGCAACTAATTAAGTTGATATCAGGTCTGTAACATGATTAAAGGGATGTCTTAGAGAGGTAGAGTCTCTCAGAAGTAAAGATGGGCAGAGGCTCTCCAATCTGTGAAAGAGTGCGTAAAAAGATTGTGGAACACTTTAAAAACAGTGTTCCTCAACATCAAATTGCAAAGGCTTTGCAAATCTCATCATCTACAGTGCACAACATCATCAAAAGATTCAGAGAAACTGGAGAAATCTCTGTGCGTAAGGGACAAAGGCGAAGACCTTTATTGGATGCCCGTGGTCTTCGGGCCCTCAGACTACACTGCATCACTCATCGGCATGATTGTGTGAATGATATTACTAAATAGGCCCAGGAATACTTCCAGAAACCACTGTCGGTAAACACAATCCGCCGTGCCATCTCCAGATGCCAACTAAAGCTCTATCATGCAAAAAGGAAGCCATATGTGAACATGGTCCAGAAGCGCCGTCGTGTCCTGTGGGCCAAGGCTCATTTAAAATGGACTATTTCAAAGTGGAAAAGTATTCTATGGTCAAACGAGTCCAAATTTGACATTTTTGTTGGAAATCACGGACGCCGTGTCCTCCGGACAAAAGAAGAGGGAGACCTTCCATCGTGTTATCAGCGTTCAGTTCAAAAGCCAGCATCTCTGATGGTATGGGGGTGCATAAGTGCATACGGTATGGGCAGCTTGCATGTTTTGGGAGGCACTATGAATGCTGAAAGCTATATAAAGGTTTTAGAGCAACATATGCTCCCCTCCAGACAACGTCTATTTCAGGGAAGGCCTTGTGTATTTCAGCAGGACAATGCAAAACCACATACTGCAGATATTACAACAGCATGGCTTCGTCGTAGAAGAGTCCGGGTTCTGAATTGGCCTTGCCTGCAGTCCAGATCTTTCACCTATAGAGAACATTTGGCGCATCATTAAACGAAAAATGCGTCAAAGGCGACCACGAACACTTCAGCAGCTGGAAACCTATATAAGGCAAGAATGGGACCAAATTCCAACACCAAAACTCCAGACACTCATAAACTCGATGCCCAGACGTCTTCATACTGTTTTGAAAAGAAGAGGAGATGTTGCACCATGGTAAACGTGTCCCCGTCCCAACTATTTTGAGACATGTAGCAGGCATCAAATTTGAAATGAGCTCATTTAGTGGATAAAAGTGTACAATTTCTCCGTTTAAACATTTGTTATGTTATCTATGTTCTATTGTGAATAAAATATTGGCTCATGTGATTTGAAAGTCGTATAGTTTTAATTTTATTCAAATTTAAAAAACGTCCCAACTTTTCTGGAATTCGGGTTGTATAACATATTGAAAATGCCACTTCATGTTCACTTTATGTCTGTTTCAGATTACTCAATTTTTTTGTCTGTTACGATAGTCGCTGTCAGATTACGCGATTTTGACTCCTAAAATCAGACTACACGTTGCTTCCTGACCAGTCATCGCATGCCCCGGCTTTAACGCCACACATGATGTCATCAAGAAGCCGAAACTAATAGGGAGTGACTTCCGGAAACTGACGTAAACAAACAAGCGGTGAGTGTTGTATCAGAATAAGTCAAAAAAGAAAGAAAACCCGACAATGGACACGTTCCTGGATTGCTCGAAGAGGACAGTATGGGCTGTCAATCCTCCAAAGAGAACTTGAGCTAAAATATTGTTTTCTTATATATTTTTAGTTTTAGTTTTAACGTTAGCACCATCGTCTCTCTTTCGTTTTCGCCATTTTTGAAAGTTGTGTACGGAAAAGCTTCTGTGCTCCTATTGGTCAACCTCAAACATGTGACAGAACCGTCGCGGACGACCGTTAAACAAATTAAGCATGCATGTCTTTTTTTCGTGGTGTCGTGAAGCAGGTTGTCGCCCACTATGACACACTATACGAGATGATACGATCGAATCCCCACGACACCCTACGTCAAACAGATCATTCCAAAATCGTGTAATCTGAACCAGGCATAAAAGAGTCAGGTGTGAGGTGGAGTACAAAGGGAAAAATAAATTACCATCTGAAAAACATCTGATCCTTCATCAAAATCCACCATCGCAAAGAAAATGCGGTTAGTAAAAGCACTGGAATAACGCCAAGAGTTGGCCAGGATCTGGTACTCTTCGTCCGCCTGTCTGAAAACACAAATATCAAGTTTGTTTAATGCAGTTGATTTAGTTCACGGGTTTTAATGTGTAGCATGTCATTTTTGTGCAGCAAACACAAATGTGAACACAAAAATAAAGACTAATTTTGGTTTTCGAACGCTCGACTCGTCTGCACATGACACGGTCTCAAATGACCACATGTGCACTTAAAATGGCCATCATGTGCACATCCACTTGACTTGCATTCAAGTACTGAGTAATATTAATTAACCAAGTTATGTTCCAAATTTGAAGTTGAGATCACAAAAATTGAAGTTCCCATGAGATTTTGTTTAGGCGTAGTACCAAAAATAGCCACCGGGTGCCATTGAATTCCATTGAATTTAATTGTATAAATTCTGCCTTTACAAATTAATACATTTCTGTCCAAATATCAATGTTGTTTTGAGACTCAGACCTTTCTGACAATATGTGTTTTGTCAAGATTAGAAAAGGTTTTGATTATAAATTATGAATATAATGATGCCCAAAAGGGGAGGAGCCTGATAAAATAAGTACCGTTTCTATGGTAACGCAATGTTCAATTATAAACTCGTTTTCACAGGATGAATTCTGAGTTTATAAGCTTTCAAATGATACCAAATTTATGATAACTACTAAAATATGTGATATAATAAAAAAGGCGATAAAAAATTATATTATATTTTAGGATAATATATATGCATATTATAATTTTTAGAGGATAATATTGTACTATAATTTTTATTTTTTATTGAAAAATACTAGATTATATGTTTTATTATGAACTTTTAGCATAAAAAACAGAAGTTTCAATGATTAAAAGTGGGCGCATCGACTTTTTGTGACTAAGGTCAGACCTTTTGTTATGATGCGGATTTTTTTTGAGGTGCACTCTTGTCATAAATTCATTATTTACTCTTCCTACATAATTTGTAACACAAAACAGGGGTAGAATATCTATTTAGAAGTCTTAGACCTTTCCAACAACCCCGTTAAGGATCCAACATATCAGTATCGGCCGATAAATGTTAATTTTCAAATGTTCCCAATAAAACATGAGGCCGATATATTAAAGCCGATAAAAGCCAATTGAATTGCTTGAAATTATAAAGGAAAATACAGTTCAGTGCAACAAGTCTGTCATATAGGCTACATAAATTTATGAGAACATCATAATAAATGTGCGCTTGGGTCATGGCTTTTAATAGTGAGATTTTTGTTTTTGTAATCAGTTTCTCAAATTTTATTTCGTCCAATATTTAGTACACAAACTTACTTGCAGACGGCGCACTGTCTCTGAGGCTGCAGTGCCGTGAACATGATGATGACGGAGTAGTTGCGTGGAGGAGCTCGGATCAGCCTCCTGAACTTCTCTCCGTTCAGTCGGATCACAGCACGCTTACTGGTCCACTCCATCATCTGACTGACCTTCTCCGACAGCAGGGTCTGCAGAGGCGGACAAATTAAAGACCTATGTATTTTTTTATATAATATAATATATTATATAATTAATATAATTAATATAATTTGTGTTTCTTGCTGCCTTTGACTGTTTTTTTGTTTTTACCTGTGCACCTGTAGCACTTTGAGACATGTCCTTCATGTGTAAAGTGCAATACAAATTAAACATATTATTATTTAATTTTGTCTTTGTCAAACACATACATACACATGTATATATATATGAAGACTTCAGGTGCAAAAGCCTCTAAGTCTGTCAAAAGTTTTTGTTTAATATTAACATTTTTTTTTATCAGGCTCTTATGTATAGGTTTCTACCCAAGTATCGGCATTTCTGAATGATTTAGTGAGATTAAAGTGAACGTATTTGATGAAGTAAACAAAGATGAATGATTTTGATGAACCAAAAGAAGTTATTCAATCTGGTTAAATGTGAGGCTGTCCAATCTCTAGGGAAAACTACAGTTCCATGTTGCACTGCAAAAAATATAATGGAATTAAAAATGATGGATAAATATGAACACTTTGATTATGTACATAGAGGTGAAAACCAAAAAAATTAGGAAATTGTGAAAAAAGTTCATTATTTTAGTACTTCAACTTAAAAGGTAAAGCTATAAAAACCTTTTCATAATTCGGGGTTTTCATAAGCTATACGCAGTAAGCCATAATCATACATACTAATATATAATTCACAGGAGGACACACTCAGCACAGGTTCATTGTCTTATTCAGTCAGGTCATAGGCTGCAGAGTAAATTAACACCAGGAAGCTTGGCTTAGTTTGCATACAGGCCAAGTGTGTCAGCTCATAATATTTTGAATTAACGTAAACCGAGAGCAATAATTCATTCGAGGTGATTTACCGACCGATCACAGTGTTTTCACGGAAATACACATTATTGTGCCATTTATTGAGCTGCTGATACAGAGAGAATCTGTCTGAGCCTTTGAGAAACATGTCAGCTCAGTGCATACGAGGGGTTAAAAACCACTTAATCACAAGCCATTAGAATCCACTGACCTCCTTCTTTTTCTGCCCATCTGATGGCGTGCCGTGTAAACAAACGGCGAGGAAAACAACTATCAAAAGTTTATAAAACATTTCTAAAGCTGCCACTGCGGCCACGACCGTTCTGCGGGAAGCAACTCCTGTCCGCTTCCTATTGGCTGAGCTCAGCGGAAAAGGAAGCGTTTCAAAATAAAAGTCTCAAGCTACAAAACTAAAGCACGACAATGCGGCAGAATTTTCAAAATAAAAGCCTCAAACTACCGTTGACAGCAGCAGAACGGGACCCCGTGTAAAGGTGGCTAGAAGTAAGATTATAAAGTCAAAGTCAACAAAGGGATACTGGCCTGCTGACTCAGAACATGTAGTCCAGAAATATACAACATAGAATGAAAATGTATTTATGCTGAAGCAAATAAAGAAATGAGGGGGAGTGTTTCCACACCTGTTATTCCAGCCCCACTGTAAAAAATATTGTTGGTTTAATTAAAAAATAAGTAACGCCTTAAAATTTAAGGCAACGAGGTTACAAAAAGTTCATTGAAATGGAAAAAATGAGTTAATACAATGAAGGAGATTAATTTAATCTCCAGAAACTCAAATTATTATGTTATCTGAACTATAATCTAAGTTGATTTGACAAAAGAAAAAATGTTGTTATTACAAATTAAGGAAATATATTTTTTACAGTGTAGGCCTATGATCTCTCGATTATCACTCGTAGATTTGTTGGATGCAGATTTCTTATGGTGTATTTATTTTTCGCAACATTTTTTTTTTCAATCTCTCTCAGTTAATTATTAATTTGTACGTTCTGGTAGCAAAGTGTGTAAAAATGCAATATTTTAGCTATTTCCTCCTGGATGCCCAGGAAGATACACCAACATGTTTCTGATGTGATATGATGAATAATTTACAAACAGTTAAAGCTTGCATTTACAACTGTCTGTACAATCAATAGACACAATAATAAAAAGCAACAAAGCCGTTCAGATGAAAGAAAAAAAGCAGAAGCTATAAACATTTATTATCTAATAATTTCTCAACATGTCTATTGATTGGCCTCAAAGAGGTTTAAAATTAAATTAAAATGTAGATATTAAATGACTTGCAAATGAAATGAAAATTGAAAATAAACACTCCGACATCCCGAGATGCATTGACGTGCGCGCGCGCGAGTGTGTGTGCTAAACATCCGGCTGTGAGTGTGTGTGAGTGTGTTTGGAGGAAGATGGCGGCGCTTATCCTCCCGTCTGACTGGATAAAAAACTGGGACAAATCGGGCAAAAATGAGTTGTGAGTAGGAGTTTAGTAATCGGGTGGAAAGTGTGCATGGGAATAAAGTTATATACGTTTTTTTGCGCGTTATTACCGCGGGTTATTGTCGAAAGCACAAATCATATTCTCTTCATTGTCAACGTCCCCTGCTAGTGCGCGTTAAAAACTGTTTACTTAAAGTTCAATAAAATGGCTTATAAACTTGAATGTGCTGGTAACCAAATAAAGAATGTACAGTCTGTAGTTTCTTTAAATGTATACGTAAGACACTTTATTGGTTATTTTCATGACTGTAACGCCAGTGAGCTAATAGTTAGCTGGGTTAGCATTAGCATGTGTCTTCTTATCAGTGTGTGTGTTACAGTATGTAACGTGTGTTACATGTGTTGTGTAGTCAAACATGGATCTTATACACTATAAGCAAGCCTGAAGTTAATATTATGGGGTGTTATGAGGTTGTGTAACCCTCATGAAAAGGTTAAGTATGAGTTAGCAATGCTTAAGAGTTCAATCATGGTAGATATTGGTTGTCTCGAAAGCTAACGTTAGTGATCTGCCCTACATTTATCAACAGCACAGTCTCAAAACATACAGAGTCAGCGGTCTAATTGTTGACACATACTTAGTGGTCTTCATAGTGGTGTATGCAGTATTTCTGATCATGTTGGATGGTTTAGCATCTGCTCCAAAATCCAGTAAACTGCTTTTCTATTCAGCATGGTCAAAATCTAGTGAGGCTTCATGTGCAATGCTAGTTTACCAGGATTTGAGCACTGCCTGATTCATATGTTCATGATACACCTGTGTCTTTTACAGTAGTTTCACCTGTGTGTGTCTCCAGGATAGATATACATTAACAACACATGATTGCAGTTATTCAGATGATACAGAACTCGATCAGTCAACTTGTAGATGATAGTCATGTTGTTTATTGTAGGGTGAAGGATAACACACTGTAGCTGTGACATTAAAAAAGCTCAATGGTCACTAGTAAACTCTACTTAATTTTGATCTATTATGATGTATTGAGCTTAATCCTGCCTAAATGGGGTCATCTTTGTTGCTCATCATGTGTTAATAATAACTAAACTTCACTTAATTTATGTTTATTTTCTGTTTCTAGTTTACAGTTTTTCCAAGACCTTGCAGGAAAACCCAGTGGTCAAGAGTTTGTTAAAGGTAAGTTTAATTCATTTGACTTATTCCTAGGGATCTTACTGCAATGTTGTTGTTTTTTATATAGTTATTATTTGCACAAATAATTCACAAATGTAATGTAAACATTACAATATCCTTGAACAATGAAAGCATAAAAAGTTTACTTATATTTGCCAATAATATACATAAAATCTCTCGTCTCATGTCTTTGTCTTCTCCTGATATTCCAAATCAATCCACACCGGTTTATAAAAGGTTGGAAGAATGAATTTCAATCTTCTGAGAATTGCTCACTTTATCTTTATCTAAATTAGTGCCCTTATGTTGTTTTAAAACATTTTAAATCCTGCATTATCTTTTCATATGGTATTTTCATACAAGGTTATCTATAAATTTAGATGTTTTTTTTTACCTGCAATATGCTCTGTAGCCCTCAATCGGGTCATGGGGTCTATACGACCCCAATCGACTTTTACTTAACAAAAAAAAAAAAAAGGTTCCCTTCATCTCAGTGGAATAAGATTTTGTGACTTTTCATACATTATCTATCTATACACACACAAGAAAATCTGGGCTTGATTCGGTTGTTCTGAAGGTATGTAAAAAAATTTTTTTTTACACTTCTGGTCTTCGAAATGAATTCACATTGAAATGAATGGGAAATGTGAAAAAAAAAAAGTATATTTCCTTCATGTGTAAAAACAAAAAACAAATCTGGCATAAATCAAAACTTTTTTACACAGAAATGAAGGCCTAGGACTAGATGCAACGTATCATAAAAATTAATATTTCATATGAAGAGTTCAGATGCAAAAGCCTCTAAATGCCATTTGAAATTTTCTTCTTTAATGATGATTTTTATCAAACTTGTATATTTAAGTTCAGTAATTTCACTTAAATAACAATTAATAGGTAATCTTCATTGCCATTTAAGTGAAATCACTGAACTTAAATACACAAGTTTGATAAAAATCATCATTAAAGAAGAAAATTTCAAATGGCATTTAGAGGCTTTTGCATCTGAACTCTTCATATGCAAGCTACTGGTGTAGTTGATGAATTGTGTGGTATATGGATACAAAAGTACTTTATATCTCCAAAACACAGCATTAATGAATAGATGAGAAGTAAACAAAAAAATTATATATTATTAGTATGATTAAAAAGGTACATTTTTGTACAATTACTCAAACAATTGTTGGGGTCGAATAGGCCCAGAAGTGTAAACGGGAAACAAAGACCATTTGAAGGTTAAGACACATCTTTTTAGTCAAGCTTTTGCTTTATAATTTCATTATTTGTGTTTTTTTGATACTTATTTATATCATTTTTTTCCCCTTGTTTGATTATTTTGTTCTGTACATTAAATGCTTTAATGGTTTGTGTCTAAAAAGGCGCATTACAAATAAAATGTATTATTATTAAATGTTACAATAGTGGGTGTATTTTTTTTTTATTATTACTCACTTTTGTTTTCCACCTCCCGCCATTTTACGCCGGCGCGAGAAGTGCGCATTTGACGAGTGAACGTTTTGTTGTCGGAGAAAGTGAGACTGAATAACCAGCGTGTGTGAAATTCACTGTACAAATAGTTGACATCATGACATGCCTCACTTTGCCTAATAATTACAAACTGTGTTAAAGTTAATATAAGGAAATTTGAAGACTGAAACCCATATTTCTGGTCTAACACATACTAGGGCTTTTACTAGTTAACCCTGGGTCATTTTAAACATTTCATATAGAGCCCGACCGATAAAGGATTTTGTAGGCCGATACCGATACAAATATTTGTTGGTTTTAAAATCCGATATTCCGATATATCGGTCGAGATATATACATATATACATATATATATACACGAGTGTTGCCAACAGGGACGCTGTAGAGTGCCCTCTGGTGTACAAACTATACAATTCCAACACTCGTGACATGGTTGAAGCGTGTTTAGTCCAATTTTATTTTTTAAATATTAATTTATCGGCCATTATAATTGCCGATACCGATAGTTCGGAAAATGCCTAATATCGGCCTGCCGATAAATCGGTCTGGCTCTAATTTCATATTTTTATCTTGCATCAGTTTCACACTGCACATAATTTTCACATTAATTGTTAACCCCGGGTATTCATATGCTGTCGTAAACGCTATGATTATGGCACTGGCCTGCATAAAGACTATGCAACTGAAATGTTCTTATAATTTCTGATTTGATGTTTCCAAGCAATGTCACCCTTTAAAAATGATCACCCAGCACTTATAAATTGCTCTAACTAAAGGGTCATCAATTTAATACCTGGTTTCGTTGGTTATCCGGATACTGTAAATCAAAGGAAATGGCATCAAAATGTGCATCTAAAACCAATAATTAATTTCTATATTAATAACAAATGGCAAACAGAATGGGATTTTAATACTATGAACAAACTTCATGAAATCAGCCCCCATGTTGGAAGAAGCTGCTTTATATCAAATCTCAGACTGATGGGAGCAGATAGTTCACACCCGTGTCCGAACAGCCCATCACAGGAGGACACACGTTTTGACACTAGATCCACCAACATGTTCTTTCCGTCGACATTGAAGCATGTTTCATTAGACTGTGCTGACTTTAACTTTTTGTAAAGTTTTTTAACTGAATAAAATAAAAGGTTAATCCAAATTGTAACTTATACCATACATTTTTCTTACAATGATGATGGAAGCTGGCAAAGCATTAAAAGCAAACACACATCTGC